TAACAAAAAAAACAGCACAGTAGCAGAAAATAAAACCAATCTGGATTATGCAAATGACACAATCTTGTTTTTTAAAAGGTAAGAAGACTAGAAGCACTTGCTGCAGAGATCAAATATTACAACCTTCAATATGGATTGTATCTCAATATCAAGAAAACAAAAGTCCTCACCAGTGGACTATCAATAGACAGCAACATGATAGGATAAAAGATTGAAATTTCCATTAATTTCATGTTACGTGGATCTATAGTACCCATTGTATCAGAAGTTAAGAAATCAAAAGACATCTTACCCTGGGGAAGATCTACCGTCAAGGACTAATCTAAAGTGCTAAAGAGCAAGGATGTCAGCTTAAAGGCTAAGGTGCATCTGAACCAAGCCATGATCTTTTCAACTTCCTATACATCTGAAAGTTGAGCAATGAATAAGGGTGACAGAAGAATCAGTTTGATTTGTGATGTTGTCAAAGAGTACTGAATAACCCACAGGCTGCAAAAAAGACAAACAAATCTGTCTTGGCAGAAGTGCAACCAGGGTGCTCCTTACAGGCAAGGGTGGTGAAGCTTCCTCTCATATACTTTGAGGAAGTAGTTAAGAGGCATCAGTCATTAGAAGTCATCATACTGGGAAAGGTGGAGTTTCATAGAGAGAGAGGAAAATCCTCAGGACTTCAGTGTATCAGAGATGATGAGAATAATGCAGCATAGAGCAAGACTCAGATCTGTTGTTCACAGAGACACTATGAGCTGTGATCAACTCAACAACAGCTGGAAAAGGATCAGGAGTCAAATTTACAAAAGATATTAAAGTTGAGACTTGGACATCACTTGATGCCACATTTACTGCATTGAGTGGTCAAAGCAAGTCCCAAGGATTAAAAAATAGAGGAACTGACTCCTTATTTGATGACAGTAACTGCAAAGAGTGCTATGTCCATTTTTATCCTAAGACAGAATTTCAGCCCCTTTCCTCATTGATAAAACTCTAGATGTATGCTAAAAATCAGAGAAAAAACATAAAAGGGAGGATGATTTAGGAACAATGTATACAGTGGGTAATGGGAGTCCCCACTCTCTTTCCTTGACTCAACCACAAGTAACATGGCAGCCAAATCCATGCTCATCCCCTTTATCTTCTCAGATTACATCAGGGGGGAAAAACACAGCCTCCAGATATTGACATTTGGAAATTCCCTGTCTGATTACCTGCTCCCTTTTGATGACCACATGGCAAAGACTATCATTCCATGCACCCTACCCCTTCACACATGCTGCCTTCAGTCAGTTTCCAAGATGTCATGCATATGTGTAAATAAAAATCCAAGGATGACTTGAGGAAAAGGGGTAAAAATGCAAAAAGAAAACAAATAGACATGCATTGAGGGAGTAGAGAGAACAGAGTGAGAAAGAGAAAATATCCCAAAAATATAATTGAAGTCTTCAGAGACTTTAGAAAAGACACAAAGGACTTCCATTATGCTCTGGTTAAAAATAGAGGATAACTGAGACTATTCAGAAATAGTTGTGGAGAAACTGGAACCCTTATTCACTTTTGGTGGGAGTGTAATATGGTGCAACCCCTGTGGAAAGAAGTATGGCGCTTTCTCAAAAAGTTGCAAATAGAGATACCATTTGACCCAGCAGTTCCACTACTGGGAATATACCCTGAAGAGACCATAACTGACATCCAAGCAGATATATGCACACCCATGTTTATTGCAGCTTTGTTCACAATAGCAAGGAGTTGGAAACAACCTAAGTGTCCATCAACAAACGAATGGATAGAGAAGCTGTGGTATATTCGCACAATTGAATACTATGCTGCATTCAAAAACAAGGAACTCATGCAATATTATTCAAAATGGTTGACTCTGGAGAACAATATGCTGATTGAAATGTCCCAGTCACAAAAGGACAAATATTGCATGGTGCCACTGTTGTAGAACGGGACTGACCTTGGGGTTGGGGAGAGACTGAGTAAGATGAGTTCAAAAATGTATAATGCACTGAAACAGGGAGGGAGAGAACTGTTCAAAAGAGATGTGATTAGGTCATGACAGGAGTCTAGAGCGATGGCTACATGGTGGAGTGGACCTGGGGGAGGGTTTGTAAAACAATGAAAGAATTTTTTCTTTTACTTTTCCAAGAGGGTAGTGTTCTGGGGCTGGAGGGTGGGAGCCTTGGGACGGGACAAATGTGCAACAATGAATGGAAATCCAAAGCCTCTGTAAATTTTCATTGAAATTAATGATAAATTTAATTTTTTTTTAAAAAAAGAATTAAGTTAGAGTAAAGATGGCAATGGATTTATAACTGCTCAAGCTAATAACACTATATCGTGGCATGGAAGAGGAATGGGGAAATGTATCCACATTTACAACATTCCTCTTATAGGAACTGCATTGGAACATGTATCTCTGGATTGGAAATGATATTGTTAATACTTCTTCTAGCCTTAAGCTTAAAAGATTATAATGTTCAAAATTACTTTAAATTTGTTTAAATTTTTCCCTCTTTTAACAACTGGGATCTAGAGGGAAGAGAAAAGACCAGAGAATGGCCAAAATTATTGGGGCAGCTATTGCTGCCAGTTTAAGGCCTGTGTCAGGAAAAGGAAGTCTTACTAATATACAGTGCCACCCAAAGGTAATAAAGGAGGTCAGAATTGCTTCCGCTGTGGAAAGCTGGGCCACTTCAGTAGACAGTGTCACAGGTGAGAGCCACAGATCGGCAAGGGAGTAGAGAGGAAAATATTAAGGAATGGCCGACTTCAGTGCATGAAGGTATTCAGAAGGACTATAAGCCATTCATATATCTTTTTATGGCAAAGAAAACCTATAGTTAAGGCTAAGATTGTGAAGACAAGGTCAGACTTTGTAATCAGAGCGAGACAGCATCCCTCTTTCTACATCTTCTGAATCTAGCTTGAATTTCTGGCAGTTTCTGGGTGGTGTGAACTGTTACCTCATTGAGACACTAAGCAAAAACTTTGAGATTTTAGTCTCCTCAAGGTGTCTCAAAAGAAAGGTCTGCTGACCTGCTTTTGAAAAATCAGTCACTGAAATCCTACTCTGATACCCATCGGGTCACCACAAAATGATTCAACTCAACGTTAGCTGGTAATCATTTGGTGGTCTGGATTCTACTCTTGTATCTGCCTTTTTTTAAGTTGCATTGAAAACTGACATTGCACAATATAAAGATGAATTATCAAATTCAAGCTAATATATTTTAATATATATTTAGAATTACTTTTCATTTCCCTTTGAGTGGAAAACAAAAGCAACCTTGTCAAAAGTGTGGAAGGATAGGACTTTCGCTGTACTTTTTGAACAAACCCTCTCCCTGCCCCACACACACAGGTCTGTCAGTGGCCATGGGTTAGGTGGAACTTAATCTCACGTATGTTGAGGATAAAAGGGGCTAGTCCTTGGTGAAAGACCTTGTGTTATGAAAGCAAAATGGATTATTGACATACGGCTAAAAATGGACTCATGCACGTTGGCGATTTATGAGGATGGGGCAGGATGGTTTCGTTGCTCATAAGGCCACTGAGTCACAGTTGAATGGATGACATCAAATTTGTCAAGAAATGTGAAGGTGGCACAAGATAGGACAGGGGTGCAGATCTGTTGTTTTCTATGGGTTGTACTCAACTCGACAGCATCTTCATTCTTGTTCATTCTTTTGGCAGTCCATGGGATATTCAGCGCTTTCTCCAACACCCCAGTTCAAAAGCATCTTCAGTCATCCTTATTTTCCAGGTATCAGACACACAGCAAGTGTCTAAAAAGACCATGCCCTAAATCAGGTGCACCTTATTCCCCAAACTGACGTCACTGCTCCTGAATAATTGAGACCCCTTCCCAAAGTTTCTTGGTGCAATATCACCCACATCTCCTGACTGCTAGTACCAAGTATCTTGATTGTGGGGCCAAGTAAGATAAAATCGGTCTGGCATCTGAAAACTGTAGGACCAACAGTGGTGAGTAAAGTGAGGGAATGCCATCATTTTGGGAACTAAATCCAGGTTCCTATTTCCTGGTCCAGAGCTCTGGTGGCATGATGTTATGTGTTGCACTGTCAACCATAAGGCCAGAGGTTGGACTATCAGCTGCCACTCTGAAAGATTTTAAAGCTACTAAGGCAGCAATGCCCCAGCCTATGTTTAACGTATGTATTTACAAAGTGTGTGACACAGGAGAGGCATGTTGAAAAGACCGTGTCACAAAAATATACAAAGACACGTTTGCTTCCTTTCCTTTGCAGTCTCTGAAGAGCGCTATAACACACAGACCATTCTGGCAGTTTACCATATAAATTATGAAGTTGCTGTACGGGTGTGCAACTATAAATACATAGAGTATACGTGGCTCAGCTGGGGAGATGCTATCTACAAGGTAAAGGGCCAGGAGGGCACAGTTGGGTATCATTAACCTGTTAAGATGGTGATGTTGGGATGCGGAGGGTGATGTCTGTATCTGGTGGGGGAGCTCCCTTTTGACCCTCTGAACAGACCTGAATCCTGTCCTATTCTGGACCATCCTTACTGTCTCTGAAACATGTGAGCCCCTTGATGTAGTCGCCTGGTCGATGCATCCCTCAGGACATACCCACCCAATACCCACACCTGCGATCTTCTGGGCTGATAGAAGAGAGGCCTGGGACTGACTGTCCTTGAACCACCACTTAGATACAAATGAGTTTGACCACAGCAAAGACAGAGACAGATGTGGGTACATGCATGCGTTTATATGTAGAAATGGACATTGTGACTTACACATCTATGGAAAGTTCCCATACATTCATTCTCCCTTGGCAGGTTTTTGGTGTTTTTGTTTTTGTGTTTTTATTTTCTGAAACCACCATGCATGCATGGGGTGTACCGGGCTAAGGGGAGATGAACAGCCCGATGTCATCTCTGTGCCTTGGTGAAAGGCCTCCGACAGGGTGTAGTACTCGGAAGGCCTCTCCACACACCTCTCTACAAGGCGTGATATGTTATGTTGTTTTTACCACTTTAGGTTTGTTGTCAATGACCTTCATGACGGCGGTGACCGTGGCGTCCTCTGCATCATCCTTACAGCACTTGCTGCAGAGGCAGCAGCCCGGACAGCACAGGCGGCAGCACACGCGGCACAAGGAGCAGCAGCAGCAGCACTGTTGGTAGCAGCTGGTGAGCTGGGTGACCACGCTGTCCCAGGGCTTCAGCGAGCGCATGCAGAGTGGCAGGAAGGCCCAGGTCTGCAGCTTGATGGGCAGCACGTGAGGGCAGCGCACCTGAAGGACCCGGAGCAAGACCACCAGGAGCAGCAGCAAGACGATGGGCACACCCACACCCATCAGCACTGGCCAGCCCAGCAGGGACAGGCTGAACACGGTCAGTGGGAACAGGAAGAAGAAGACGACCAGGTAGAAGATGGCGAACCAACGGTATTTGGAGCAGGTGTTGCCCAGAGCCTTGGCCAGGAGGATGGGCAGGCGGGTGACCGGGATCGGGTACCACATCAAGATGCCACAGATGTTGAAGAAGAAGTGGCACAGGGCGATCTGAAACACAAGGGTTGGGCAAGTGAACTTGCAGGTCTGTTGTATGGTTGAAATCGGGAGGGGGGGGAGCAAAAGGCCACCCTGTCAGGAAGGGAGGCAAACTTACTAAAAAAGATGCCCCCGTGAAATGGAATCTACCCCATTTGATGAGGGGAACAGAGGCACCATCACAAGACAAAGCTAAGTTTCCAAAGCCTGACTCCTCCCCCAGCATAAAATTTTTATTTTAATTGTGATTGTAATGAAAGTTTACAGAAAAGTTTCATTCCTTCACTGTTGCACATTTGTACCTTCCTTTCTCCTTCTCTTTCCCCTCCTTCTCCCACTTTCATTGTTGGTTTGCTTTTAATATTCGTTATTACACAACTACCTCCCTTCTCTCAGTCCTCTTTGCAATGTACCTCTTATTCTGGGCTATTGTTGTACCTATAATACCTCATCACATATGCCTATTATACAGTTCTTTCCTTCATCTATGCCAGTGCAATGTTCATTCTGTTCACACTTAATCCTGTTCTCCCAAAGTCTGACTTAGAAACCACGAGCTTATAAGACTAACGGATGCACAGGGTTATAACCCTGCCCTCCCCACCCCCAACCCTCCCACTTCCTCCCTTGCTCCGCCCAGCCCTTGCTCCATGCAGCTTGTCCTGACCTGGATGGAACTCTTGAAACTCTTCCCTGGGCTGGCTAAGGCGGCCAGGATGGCAGTGGTGGTCGTGCCAATGTTGGCTCCGAGAGTGAGTGGGTACGCCCTCTCAATGCTTATCACTCCGATGCCTGGGGAGAACACAAATAGATAACCTCAGTCCCAAGAAAGGATGGAAGATGGCAATGACAGCTGAAGGGAGAAGAGGAGGAGAGGAAGAACTCACCAATCAGCGGGGTCAGGGCAGATGTGAACACGGAGCTGCTCTGCACAATGAAGGTCATGGCTGCCCCCACCAGGATGGCCAGGTAGCCAGCTAGCCAGGTAAAGGGGTAGGAGAAATCTGGAAGACAGAAGGGAAAACAGGTCTTTTCACATCCTCTTAGGAAAAGTGCCGTGTGGAGGGTGCACTGGTGATCCAGGGAAGCTAGTCGAGGGATTTAGGTTGAGAAGACCACCTCTCCACCATGCCATGTCACTTTCTGATTATACTCCATTTACATGAAGTGGGCGGCTTGTTATGACAGTTATGACAAACACCCTTCCATAAATTGCTTGCTGCACTTTCAATCACTCTCTCTCCAGCCTTCTCTCCCGTTACTTCAATTCCAACCTTTGTGTTCACCCGCAGGAGAATGGAGAACATGTGGCAGCATAAGACAAACCCACCAAGTGAACCCTCCACACCACTCCTGTAAGATCAGGGCCCTCCACTCAGGAAGGTTCCCTGCATCACCTAATCTATCCATGGCAACACAGGAGAGTTTTCTGGTCTGCACTCTTTCACCAAGTGGTGATGGCATTGAAATCACAAGCTCCTCCTGGCCAGTTGTCTCACTGGCTGCTTCTAGATGCTGATGTATTTATCCAGCACATCTCCTCAAGAGTAATGAAAGTGAGGGCCAAGTGGGCACTTATTTACTTTTTAGGGTCCCAGTGGACCCAGTAAAGGCTTGCTCACATAGAAACCCAGCCAGGAAAGAGCACATGGGTCTCTGTGCCTGCTCCCAAGGTCCACTCCCAAGGAAAAGTTTAAGAGGTACTAGCATGCTAATGTAATTACTTAAAGCCATGAAGATGGTAATACTCAATGGGAATCAAGATCCTGTTAAGGGAGGGCCCAAGAAATCCCAGGATGGGAGTCGGAAAGCCTACCAGTGTTGATGGTTTTCTTGATGACAAAGGCAACCTTCCCCTTGAGCACAGAGTTGAGAACCTTGACAATCATGACCAGGCAAGTACATAAGACGATCAAGGAGATTATCAGCAGGATGGTGCCAATGACATAATCCGGGAGGTGGAAATCCACAAAGATGTGATGACCTGCAGAGATCACAACAAACAGAAAACTTTTGTCAGGAGGACAGAAATCACTCATGGCTGCATGCTGACATTCATTCAATGCCCCTCATAGCAATATAAGTTGTTGGCTTCAACACATGACAGCATAGAAATAAAGACCCTATTTTCAGTTTCCATTGGAGCTAAGTCTGGCTGCAAGGTCATGTTGTAGTGAGTGAGAAAATAATGTGACATATGCATGCCTAGGCAGGCTTTCTAATTATCATGGAATCTAGACTTTCCAGAGCCATGGAACCTGGATCAACACCCCTTAAACTATTTTAACTATAGCTAATAGCTAAATAGTTATATAGTTAGCAGTATAATAGTATAAATAGTTGGCAGGAGTCCAAGGTTTCAAGTTTCAGTTTTGTCCCTTTTCACTAAACTCACCAAGTCCCAACACATTTAAAGAAGCTTACTGCCCTTCCTTTCATTTACCTGCTCCACAGAGCTAGGAAACACTGGCTAGCCTGACAGTCTCAGCGGCCAATGCCCTGCTGAGTTGCACTCACATTTGTCAATGTTCTGTTTGAAGGTCACGTTGGTGGTCGTCCAGTGTTGGAGGCCATCCGAGAAACAGAGGTCAGTGGATGTGCAGTTCTCAGGCGAGGGGACGGTGACATTCATCTGAGTCTAGACAGAAGACATAAGACATTGTGAGATCCCTAACATTCACTTTTGGTGAGGAAAGGTAGAGAACCAGGGAGACATTGTACAAGTTCACTTTTATTGCTTGTTTCATGAACTTGCTGTTGTCACGTCAAAGGTGCCATGTTATAAATGTTGGTAGGTGCCATCCAGTCCACTACAACTCATAGCAACCCTATAAATAATGGATCTGAGCCTTGCCTGATCCGGTGCCATCCTCATAAGCTCTGATATACTTGAGCCCATTGTTACAGTTACAAATACAAGGTAAGATTTTGAGCCTTGATGAAATCATCTCATTGAAGCTAGCTGATTTCTCCTGCTTTAGTTGCTACTTTAGCCTTATTTGTAATGTCCTAGAACCAAATTGGGACAGGTAAAACAGCCTTTCTATCTACCTCCTGTATTTTTCCCCCATCTCCAGTCTTGATGTTGCTATTAGTCACCAATGACTCATATCAAACCTATGTCCTGACCTGCACCCTGCTCACCAGATCTGCCTTGCTCCAGGCCGTTATAATCTCAAAAGTTACAGCATTTCAAAAACACCCATGTGCCATGAGCCACAGGCAAGGACAAGTCATATATAGCCCTGTCGCAAAGCAGGGTCACCAGGTTCATCGGATATAGTGGGGCCAGCACCCGAAGGTGATGAGCGTGTTTCCATTTGTCACTCGATAACGGGATCAGAGGTGCAACTCCTGTCTGTCCCATCTATCTCTTTGCCTGGTCAAACCAGCCCAGCCAATACCTGATACTTTTCAGGTATTAATTCTGGTCTATTCTCCCATCCCCTCTGGTTTGAATAAATGCCTCCAGCAGTCTTAGAAACGTACCACATTGGTGAGAGTCTTGCACCAGATCTTGACCAGACTCTTGTTGTAGGCAGCTTCATCATTCATTGCAATATTGTGGATCACGTTCTTATCCAACTGAGAAAGGCAATCATAAAAAGAGGAGGTTGCGGTTAGTAAGGTTCTGAGGATATTAACTTACTGATCCTGCATCTCCTGGGTGGGGCCCAGTGCCTACAGGATAGCTGGCTGAGATAAATGCACAACTGCTGAATGATTTGTGTGAACCAGTGGAGTGTGTTGAGGGCTGGATGAGTACATGATAGGGCAAGGCCCCAGGAAAAATCCCCGAAGACTAATTTCATTTAAGTAACATGAAAAAGATTCTACTGAGGCATCAGTGGTTCAATGGTAGAATGCTTTCCCATACTAAAGAACACGGTTTGATTTCCACGTAATTCACCTGTGCAGCCACTGTCTACCTAGGTTTTCATGTTGCACTTTTGGTGTAAGATGGACAAGGAAGTTCTGGTAGTCTATTTGCAAATATCTCAAATTCTAAATCATTGCCATCAAGTCGGAACTAACTGACCCGTATCTGAGCCTCCAGGGGCTTTTCAGAGGCTGTAAATCACAGGAGAAGAGGCTGCCCATCTTTCTCCTGTGGACCAGTTGGTGGATTCCAACTGTCTACTTTCAGGTTGGCAGTGCAACTCTTTATTCACCAAGTAAAGAGTCACAGGAGTTGTTCCCAAAATGCATGAAGTAACTGTGAGTCTGTGGCCCCCAGACAATTGCAGCTAACAACTAGTGACAGAGGGTTGAGTCCACTTGTGGCTAGCCCACAGCTCTTAGGGCAAACTAATACATTCAAGCCCACCTGCAGGTACTTCAAAGGAAAGCTTAGCAATTGTCTTGACAGTTTCTACATGACTTGACTGCTGATTTTGATTTGGTTTGGCTTTCTAAGTCTTCACTAATAGCATGTCCTTTGCTAGTACCTCCAGATACTTACAAGGAAGGTCAGTTCCTTTGGGAATGTAACTTTTTTCACTTTTTTTACCTTATTTTTTAAAAAACACCAAAAATCCAAACTGAAAGCATTTCTCCCCCCCTCAGAATAAAGATGATAGAAGTGTAAAAGTTAAGAAGAGCTAATTACTTTTCCTTGGGTCTCCCCCCCTAAAGTCCCACCTCCCTTGGAGAGGAGTGGGTAGAGTTCACAGGCATATGCCCATCCCTTCACTTGATTTCACTAAGTTCATGGTTAGGGCTGAGGGCAAGCGTCTCTGCCACTCTGAAGGGAGGCCCCTCTTACCTGGATAATGAAATTTGTCAAGGGGGCTGTAATGACTTTCAGAAATTCTGGGTTTTCCTCTCCATTCCTGAAGGGGAAGGAGTGGACCACAAAACTGGTGAGGCGCTCCAGGAAATGGGTGACAGACTCGATGGGCAGGATCACCAGTACGGAGAGACAGTTGAAGAAATCGTGGATGATGGCCCCCGCAAAAGCCCTACAAACCAGAAGCCAGATTAGTCAAAAGCAAGTGTGCACCATCTTGGAGGTCATTGCTAGTATTGTCATTGCTACCATCCACAGGACTATAAATGTACACGTGTCTCTCATCTTCATACTTTAAAAAGCCCCGCAGTGGGTGCGATTACTTTATTAACATTTAACACCAACCAAAGTAAGAACAAAACTGCTTTGGAGAATTGCACATGAGTAGTCTTCATAGGAAAGACATCTGAACCACTCTGAGAAGGCCCATAAGTTATCCCTGATAGATCTCATGTTTTCCTATCTCAAAGCAAAGGCTATCTGGAGTAAAAAATTAGTGGAAATTAGAAAGGATCCGGGATTTAATGAGAGAGGGGAAGCCCTGGATTAAGACCCCACCAAGGAAGCTACACTGAAACATGAAAGTCACACGGTTCAAATCCACCAGCAGCTCTGAGGAGAAAGGTAGGCAATCTCCTCCTGTCTAGTTATCTGCCTCTAAAAATCTGCTGGAGGGTCAGCTTCAACTCGATGACCCGCAGTGAAGTCACTTTGAACTTCACTCCACATTCACAGATGGACATAGAAATTGGTTGAACTATTGGTGTATATTCTGTGTTAATTTTGATGACAAAAGGACTAAAAGCACCAATCAGGACACTAACTGGGACTGAGAAAGTTCTCCAAGATTTGGATGGTGATGAGGATACACGTCTCTGGTCCCACTCAGTGACTTGGGCTCAAGTATGAGATACAGTGTATGTCTTTTGCAGTTTCCCTAACCCTCCCAGAGTTAATGCCATGACAGTAACACCATTGTACTCCAGGTCGGCTCTGCTCATGGCTCTTCATGTATATTTTATTAAGCTCTGATAAAATCCCATCACCAGTTAGACTCCAAAATATGCTCAATTTCCACATTAAATATTTTGGATGAAAATTTGAGCTCCTTTGGCCTGTATTCAGAATTCCCTATGCACACATCCGATGCAGCCACAAAAGCTCTCTTTTGCCTTTTATAGTCATGAAAGCAAAGAATGAAAACAAAAAGTGGCAAGGCTGGCCCAAAACGGTTGTTATAATTACTTCAACCTACAAGGGACCTTGCCTGGCATGCCACACAGCAGGCATTCTTAGAGCTGAACCTGGAAGCCTCTCTGCTCGCTAAGCACATCTTGCTAAACATCCATAGGTGATTATACATAAACATCCATAGGTCAGTAACAGAGAGACTTCTTAGCCACGCTGTGTAGATAAGGATGTTGACATCCAGGGCTATTGTTAGTTCTAAGTGACCTCAACTCCCAGTAATATGTTTCTGTAAATGAATACAATCCCTAAACACAAGTCCCAATGGGCAAAGACTGAGTGGGAGCCCCCTACCTCCGGAATTCGTTCCGGTCTCCAGCTTGCAAGAGCGCCACGAGGGTGTTGGTGATGGAGGTTCCGATGTTGGCGCCCATGATGATGGGGATGGCGGCACGCACGGTCAACACTGCGAGGAGGAGTGAGAAAGTTCAGAAAGAGGGAGGTGGTGGTTCAGGGGGTAGAAAGCTCCCCTTCCATGCTGTTCCATGACAGCTCCCCATGGTGCTGTCGAGTATGACTCATACCGACCCTAGGAACAGATCCGACCCCTGCAGTCACTGTGTCGAGCCACCTGGTTGAGGGTCTTCCTCTCTTTTACTGTCCACCCCCCACCTTTCCAAGCATGGAAGTGGCTGTCACTCTCCAGTGTCTCTCCTAGCAACACGCCCTAAATATGTGAGATGAAGCTTTATCATCTTTGTCTCTGGCAGCCCCTGTTCCAGGACATAACTGTTTTTATTTCTGGCAGCCTACGAGCTCTTCAGTACTCTCCTTCCATGTGGGTGATCTGAATTAAGTCCCCAGAGTCAGAATGGAGGAGATGGTGAGGACAGTGCAGTTGAGGGCAAGGTCACTGTCAGGGGCTGCAGGGCCACCCTGTTGCTTATGTGATGTTGCACCCTGGAGTCTGAACCAACTCATAGCTGACCCTCGAGTGGGTCTTCAGAGGCAGTGAATTGCACAGCAGAAGACTGCCTATCTTTCTCTCAAGTAGCTAGTGGCTTTCAATGGCCAGCCTTTGGGCTAATAGCACAACTTTCGCCTCAAGTCACCAGAGCTCGCTACGGTCCCGATGAGTGATAGACAACTCTGTAGCTCTGAGCAGCAGCTGCAAGTGAATTTTCTACAGTGGTTTCTACAAAGGTTTCACGTGGCTACTGAACAATCAAAAGGTAGCCATTGCAGGTGGGGAATATTTTACACTTAAATTCGTTTTTTAAAATGTAAAAGATGCTTGTGGCTGGCAGCAATTGAATTTTGCATAGAATTTATAGCCAAATCCTCAAGCACGAGGGCAGTCTGACTCATTAAAAAGGAGACAGGAGGGTTTTCTGAGATCAGATGTGGAGCACATCCTAGATAGACAAAGACAAGGGCTACATATTTAAAGAATACATAAGATATAAATACCAGGCTTTCCAGATGTGCAGGGAAACGTCTGTAAGATGGGTTCCCAGAAACACAATCCCCAGTTTTTAGAGACAGGGGCTCACGGATCCCCAGACTCACGTGAGGAGGCCACCATGCTGACAGCGATGGATGTGGTGGTGCTGGAGCTCTGCACGATGACGGTCACCAGCACCCCGATCATCAGCCCGGCCACGGGGTTGGACAGCAGAGAATTATTACTGAAGAACTTCCCGGCTGTCTTTCCTGGAAACAAACACAACCACATGAGAATTGGTTCACAGGAGCTGGGTCACAGGGGGCTCCACGCCAGGCTGGCTAGCTATAGGCTCGGGGAGCCCAGTCTCCCTCCCTGTGAACTCCATGCTTCTACCTGATGCTGATCAGCCTCCAGAAGAAACCTAAGCTCCTGCGTGTCCTCTTGTCACCCCTTCTGACTTAGCTCCCCACCCACCAGCATCATCTCCATCACTCATCCTTTAACCAGAGGATTTGGACACCCTCAGCAAACTCGCCTCTAGCTTTCTCTGATCACATCCATTCTCTACTTGGTTGAGGGAGGGAATGCTGGGGGGCCTACTTCCTAATTCCTCTTCTGTGTCTCTGTAACAGTCCAACTCAGAGGATTCCTTTCCTCAGAGAGACTCTTCATCTTACTCCAGCCCCAGTTCATCATATAAACCTATTGGTGAATGTCCTTGGCTGATAACCAAAGATTTTGAGCCCACCAGCAGCTTGATGGCAAAAGGATAAAGCAGTCTGCTTTACAGACTTGAAATTCATAGACTTGTGGAAGTTGAGTTCCTCCAAGACCATCAAGCCCATAAAGAAAACTGAGGCAGAGAAAGATAGTGTGATGTCTCTAAGATCACACAGGGCAGAGTGAAGACATCCACTGATGGACCAGGGACCAGAAGTGTTGGCCACCAATATCGTGCTCTGCAACGAGTGTACCTTGCCCCCAAGAAGGGAGAACAAGGGATGTCAAGCAAGGAGTGATCTTCAGTATCTCGTTCCTTCTGAACCCAATTCAGTGAGACCCCCCCATCCACTTCCCTCCTTACCTCCAAGCAGCTGGAAGGCACTGCTGAGAATGTCCAAGGAGCACACGAACATGTAGAGAAATCCCAGAAGGAGAATGAACTTTCCAATCCCTTGAAATACACAGAGGATCTTCCCTTTGGTATCTCTCTCTGGGTTAAAACAAAAGAAAAACACCAAGGCTGTTACTCTCTGAAAGACTGAGGTTTCTGCAGATTCCTAAGTGGTTGGGTGATGGTTCTTTCAAAAAGAATCAAACCTCTGATAAAGTGTCTCTGATGGAGCAGGAGGCTACATTCAACCTGGAGTAAAGCACGCTCCATACCCAGCTGACCAGCACTGGCTGAGTGAGGCAGACAGGAACACCTCGCATCTACTAAGTGCTGGATCAGAGATAATGGCACAGGGAGCATTGGCTAGAATGTGGCTTGATGGGAGCAACCATGGAGGACCTGCCTGGAGGCCCTCGTCCCGTGCTGGGAGGATCCATCATCTCCAGTTAATTGTAAAGGGGTGTGTGTGTGTGTGTGTGTGTGTGTGTGTGTGTGTGTTCCCTCCCTCAGCACCCTCCCATCGTCTCTCAAGGCCTTGCCTCAGTAGTATCTACAGGCTTATTTTAACAACTCTCAGGGAGAAAGATGGACTGTTTCCACCTGTAAAGACACACAGCTTCCGGATGCAGGATCACTAAGAATGAAAACAGCAGAGGGTTTGGATTTACTTCTTCTGGATTCCGAACTTCCCTGCCTCCATTCTCTCTCTTCTTCCTCATCTGAGTTTCCCTCTCTCCCAGGGCCACAGACATGGCCTGTGCCCTGTAGAGGGCACAGCAATGCAGCATTATTTGCCCCTTAGCTATCCTGATTGCACAGGCCTGTGTTCAATTTTATCTTCTGGCAAAGGTGCCAGGAATCAAGGTCCCCCTTCTGCAGGTTCAAGGTCATGCCGGGCTTGAAGCATGTGGACGAGGTGTCTCCATGAGATCTGAGGTCTGAGTTTTCCATGGAGGTTGAACACATTCCTGACTCTTCCTGATGCTAACTCAGGGATTTTATGAGCTCACTATGCCCACAGCACCCTAACAGTACCCAGAGTGTGTTTGGCATGCAGTGATCCTGCCATAACCCCAGTGTTGCATGATAAATTTGCAGGAACAAAGGTGCCCCTAACAACATGCTGGCAGTCAGGCAGCATCCTTGGCAGGACTTTAGAGAAGGGATGGACATTGGCACAGTTCTTACAGAATTGTACTCTTAACTCAAAGGCAGTATCACTTCAGTGGTTCAGTGGTTCGAAACCACATGCAGCTCCGCAGGACAAAGACAGTCTCCTCCCGTGCGATTTACAGCCTTGGAAACCTGCTCAAGAGTCAGCTATGGGTTGGTTCCAACTAAATGGCAGTGAATGGGTGAATGAGTAACACCGGTAATGACAATGCTCATGACAGCCTGTCCCTGTCCCATCCCGTCCTCTTAAACGAGAAGTCCTTATTTCTACCTGACCACTTGATGCCTGTGTCCTTGAGGGCGGGCAGTTCCCAGGGGTCTTCCACCTCTGCAGGCTCTTCCAGAGTCTTGGAGCAGGAAATCGGAATTTCTACCTGGAGGGTATCTGTCCAAATAAGACATGGGAGTCAGACCTGACCCTCCTGGTATCGCCCCGCTCCCCACCCCCAAAGAGGAACCCAGTCCCCAAGGTGAATAATCCCTACTCACTTTTGCTGGTCTCAGTCTGCTGACTTGAGGCCTCTTCAATGGGGTTTGGCTGGGCATTTTGTAACTCAGGCAAAGGAGCCATTACCTGTGGATGGAAAAAGAAAGCTTAAAGAAGTGGACACTGAAAGGAGACAGGTACAGGGAAGGCCAGTCAAGGCCCAGGCTCTGTGATGGTGAGAAGCATTGGCTGTGATGCTCAGCCTTCATTGTAGGGAGGAGAAGATGTATGGAAGGCATCTTGTTGGTAGGCATGGAGTTTGGAATCTCCAGTACCATGTTTTGTTGCTTGGTATCCTCCTTCACGAGGCTGCCTCTAAATCAAAGCACTTCTTCCTATAAACTCGACCTCAGTCTCAAATGTCGACCCTTGCAAATACACACCCGCGTGTTTGCTCCGATAAACTCACAATATGCCCCAAGTCCTCACAATCTAACAATGGGTTGATTCTCACATCCAAGTAGGTCTGTTTTTAAACCTGCTGCATTCCTGGCTATAAGGGGTAACCTTTAAAAAGCAAGGCTATCGAACTGGAGGGGGAGGGGTGGGCAGGGAGAAAAGTGCAACAGTGAATGAATGGAAATAAAAAAAGCAAGGATATCCCTTCAAAGTCCAAGATGCAACTGACCCAAGTCATGGTATTTTCAATTGCTTCACATGTATGGGGAAGGATTGTAGTCTTTGAATCATGGTGTTAGTGAATCTATAATAGACTACAAAAAATGGCACCTAACATTTCTTCCCCTTGGTTTAATTTTCTTTCCTGCCTCCTTCTATTTTTATATTTCTTCTACGAACTTTCAGCTAGTAATGACACACCACAAAAACGGTTTGCTCTCAATTTTTAATTTAAAATTTAACTGGTTCATCCTTTAAGGAGCTGGGGGAGGGGGGCAATAGTGCTTAGTCACTAACCAAAAGGTCAGAGGTTTGAGCTCAACAGCTGCCCTGTGGGAGACAGATCGAATTCCACACAGAAATGCAGGCTGTCTGCTCTGGGTGGGGCCTGGCTGGCTTCCTGTGCCTCTCAAACCCCAGCAGTCAACATCACCTGGACATCATTGGAGACAAGGCAAATGCCTACTCCTGCCTTCTCCTCACAAGCCTCCTTTCCCTTTGCTTTTTTAACCATTGCTCTTTGCCGGTTTCCCTTTTACAAACACCTCCCTGATAACTTTCACTGTCCCACACTCTTCTACAATCTACCCCATTGCCGTCTGCTAGGAGATCACCACGCTAAACACAGTTATTCATTATTAGTGCTGCCAAGGTCCACACACCTCTAGAAGGCTTGTGATTCTTGGCCCTGACCAACTGACCCCGTCCAGCAAGCGTGGAGCAGCAGGCCCTCCCCTCATCCTGAGACCAGGAAGTGGGAAAATGTAGGGCACCTGGCATCTGGGCCAGGTGAGGGCAGCACAGGGCAGGATGCTGGCAGCTGCCCTTGGCATCAGCACAGGGATATCATTCACTTGGTCCTTCTGACAGCAAAGGCCAGCTGCACAGCCTTGAGGTGAAGAGGGAAGCTTGAGCCAGCTCCCCCAAATTCAGCCTCAGGACTGGGGAGTTGTAAGAGGGGGGGTCAGGGAGCCCCCAAGCCCTCGAGCTTCCTCACCTCTGCTAGGCATGTGGTGAGAACGACTCACGTGACCCTTGGCCAGTATCTAAAAAATGGGGATGTTATCGTCCCCTGGCTCCCGCAACATGGGGATTAAGTACCAGGGAAATATTTAGCACTGAATCTTGTGTAATGAATGAAAGAATCACATCATGGACAAACCACACAGGGTCAGAGAAAGAGACGGCAACCAACACAGGGGCTATAGCAATGGGCTCAAGTGTTATCAGACACAAGGATGCAGAATAGGGAACGTTTAATGTTATGTCAATGACAAGTTATGTCAGAGATAAGGATGCTGAATAGGACACATTTCAGAGCTGTTCATAAGGTCACCATGCATCATGCTCAACTTGACAGCACATAATAACAGACACTAGATGACCCTCTCTCCTTGTATGTGATGGACCCAAATGGACAGAAGAGTAAAGAGTCTGGGGACAGGGGTTGCCCTATGATGTTTTCATGGCCTCACTAAATGGCATATCAAGGAAGCTGTGTACAGATCCACAGTACAGATCCAGTGTAGTTCCACTGGTACTTAGATCTCTCAGCCAGGAACCCATCATCCGTCCAAAGCCCTGGCACCCAGGTTCCTCAGCCCCAGGCCCAGGCCCAGTGAGGACTTGGACTTGAGCTGGGCGAACCAGCTGAACTGATGGTGCATCTGTAGGGGTCACGGTGTCTACCCATTCAAATGGCTGGAAAGATCAGCCAAGAATGCTGTCTTGATGGGCTGCTGTGCTCTCACACGGCTTCTGGAACTCTGGAGTTCCAGAGTTCAGGTCTTCTGGAGACCTGGACGCAGCCTCTGCCAGGCACACAGTGGGGCCGAGAGAGCAGTGAAGCAGCACTGAATGGGTCAGACAGAGGCTACTGCAGTAATCTGAGGCCACTATCCAGTGTTGAACCTGCTCTCCAGGGGACCCCCAGGGACACTGAAGGTCCCTTATCATCCCCAACTCCCTGCCTCGTCTTTATCTTTGCCCACCTTCCCAGAAAGCTTTGCTCCACCTTGCTGCTACCTGGCCAGAAGCAGAACAGGAAGACTTGCTTTAAAATGCCCTGACAACAGTATCTCCCCCAGGAGAGGGCACGGCAGCTCCCACTCCTTGTAGAAGTATGTGATGTCTCTACGGTCAGGTTCTCGATTTGTCCTTAGAAACATCTTACACTTACTGTGATTCCATTTCTACACATTTAATTTCCTGAGTTTCAACAAGGAAATATTACCTTGGCTGTCTTGATAGCCAAGAATTCCTGACTAGATACACTCCCCTGCCAGTTCCCACCATCCCACAGAATGGCTGACTTCTGGGGGCAGAGGTTACATGAAGAATGGCAAATGGCTGAAAGTGGAATTAAGGATCCAAATCACTAATCCTAGGAGGCAGTTTTCTCCATTAATGAGCTCAGATTGTGTGACTTTCTAACAGTGAAAGCTCTCTCACGCCCTCACAGCAGGGGAGACTGTTTTCTCTGTGAGATGGTTGAGTGATATAGAGTGGACCCACAGGGTGTTGTTTATTTACCATCCAGTCCTTTCACAAAGCATGCCCTTCTTGCTACCCCCCCCCCCCCAAGAGATCAATGGTTTGGTGGGCACCAACAAAAGAGATCTGACTACCCTTTTTGATAATCCAAAAATGAAGCATGACTTTGCCAAGTCCCAACAGCAAATAGGCTGTGGAATTGTCAGCACAGGACAGAAAGATCAAGGTGAAGAATCGAAACACAGAAACTAAATTCCAGGAGGGGAAATTTCCCAGCAACCACCACCATTGAAAGCCAGATGCTTCTTTTCCTAAGAAAGCAGGAGCCTCACACAGGCCCTTTCTCCCTCCCTGCCAGTGACCTCCGGCAGGTATTAGCCCCAGGCATTCTCAACGGCTCCATAAATGTGTGACTGGGACCTTTCTCTGCCTGCTTGATCTCACTCAGCAAACTCAACTGTCCCCAGGAAAACCTCCGTATGAGCCTCTTCTCCAGCCCACCTTCCTGGGGCCCTTTGACTCTTAATACTGAGAAACTGGCTTTTCTCCCCCAAAACAAAAACTGCTGCTTGCCACCTGCCCAGGAGAACAGCAAACTAAGCCTGTCTCCCTTAAATAAATAACTGCAAACAAGCTTGGGTGAAGGCATGAGGGTGTGAAAGCAAGTGGAGAGGTCTCTGCCAAGGACTGAGAAGAGTTCTTTCAAGGAGAAACTGAGGCTCGAGGTGAGGGGAAAGGGCGGGCTAAGGTACACAGTCACCGAATGACCCAGGGCAAAAGTTTTCTTAAAAAGTAAGCACCTAGCTGATGTCTTTAAAGAAAAGACATGTTTCTTTTCTTTCCCCAAATTCCTTAAGGTTAGCACAGTCCTCTGGTTCTCTAAAGCCAGGGAGAGAAGGAAGGGAAGCACACTCGCTGGGCAGCAGTACTCACCAGAGCTCCTGTCTCAGGTAAAGGACTGAAGGAGGCAGCCAGGTGGAGTGCTGTGACCCGGGTTTATAAAGCCAAGGTGTTGCGCAAAGGGGCCAGCGGCTGCTGCCGTCCTCACGCCCCTTGCACATTCCAAGACTGCACGCCACCACCACTGCCATCGCCAGGGCACTGCCAACCTGCCACCTTAATGAGCCCACGGTGGCCTCGCCTGCTGTGCAAGGCTCTGGGGCGAGCCCCCGACGGTCCCCAGAGGCCAGCAAATGCACCCTGGACCCGTGAGCTCCCCAAACTATGGCGCTCTGGGCTCCTTGGGCCTTGCTTTCTGCTGCCCAAGAACTTGAACCTCCTAGTCTAGCTTCTCTGAGGCTGTCACAGGGAGAGACAATGAGAAAGTGAGTTGGAAACTCCTTCCCAAACAAAGGCGAGATTGTTTGGCTTTTTCGGTCTTTGGAAATGCTTTCTGCCCTGGTGCTGCTTTCTGCCCTGGTGCTAACTCCCAGCTTAGACACTTGCCCAGCTGAGCCTGCAGTGGGAGCTTTGGCTAGCTCCCGGAGAGGTCTCAGAGTGAAACCAAGGTTGACATTGATTATCCTGACTCACTCCCCAGTCTCTCATTCCATCATCCTGTTCTGCCTGGTGTCCCCTACATCTCTCCCCATCATCTCTGTCCCAAAGACAATGACTTCATATCAGCTACCAGGGTGGGTGATATGTCCACTGCCAGAAAGTAATGAATCTGTGCATAGCGAGGGACGTTGTCTCCAAAATACATAAGGAAAACTCTTCCTTGGGGCTCCGAGGCACTTCCTTTACTTAGGGGAAACTACACAAGATCTTCAGCCCCAAAAGCTCCCTTTTCCTCCTTGGCACCATTCTTGTTTAATAGCCCAGGAAAGCGAGGCTTAGAAAGTTTACTACTCTGCTGTAACTAGTCAGAGGAAGTGTCCTATTGGGACATGGCTGGGTCTCTTTCCACTGCACAGGAGGAAGACTGGGAATGGGCGTTCCAGGAACCTACAGAGCCTAGAGAGGGGGGTGGA